TGGCGGGTGGATCCTGTGGGATCCCGGGTTCCCATCCCGATGTGTCATCGTTCCCATGCCATCCCCTAATGACAGGGCAGCGGGCAGGGAGCGCCGTGACTCACTGCAGCCCTGCTTGGCCCTGTGCCCACAGAGGAGGCTGTCCCGGGGGTGTCCTGGGGTGTCCCCAGACGCTGCGTGGGCTCGCCTCCATCCCGTACGTGTCCCACCAGGGCCCTGCCTGTGGGGCTGGAGCTGTGCCGGGGTGGTGCCAGGACAGACACCCCATGGCCTGTGTGCCACAGCCACCCCTCTCAGCCAGCGCCCACTGAGCCCAGGGCACTGCTGGGGCTCCTCACGGCACTGCCGGAGCGCTCAGGTGGGCACCTCCTGCTCTGAGCCGTCACAGGGGATATTCTGAGCCGAAAGGAATTCCACAAGGATCGCCAAGTCCAACTCTTAATTTGTCCGTACCGGGGTTGAACCTTCAACCTCGGTGCTATTAGCACCGTGCTCTGGCCAACTGATCTAATCTCGGTGCTGGGTGTTGAGGCGCTGCTGGGTGCTGGTGGGTGCTGGCACGCAGGGGCCGGTCCCCGTTAGCTGTTTCCTTTCCCCACACCCCGTGACTCACCGTGCTTCCCCAGAGCGGTTGGCTCATCATTTCCTGCGCCAGCCGTGCCCTGCGGTGCCACCGGCGGGGCCTGGTTTTTGCCGTGCCACCATCCCGCTGCCGCTGGCTCACCTGTCCTTCTCCTCTCTTGCAGATGAGCGAGATCGTGTCCAGAAGAAAACCTTCACCAAATGGGTCAACAAGCACCTTATCAAGGTACAGGCACCGCCAGTCCTCGGGCACCACAGCCCCAGCAGTGCCCAGCAGTCCCCAGCAGTCCCTGGGCACCCCCAGTCCAGCGGGCACCACTGCCCCAGCAGTCCCTGGGCACCCCCAGTCCAGCGGGCACCGCTGCCCCAGCAGTCCCTGGGCACCCACTGGCCAGTGGGCACCGCTGCCCCAGCCGTCCCAGGCCCCAAATCACCGCCAGCCTCAGCCCCGTGTGCTGGAACGGCCAAGGACGTGGCACTGGAGGGTCCCTGGTGCCAGCACCGCTGCCACACCCTGGTCGAGGCCCCTCAGCTGCCTCCGTGGTGGGGGTCTGCCCTCCCGGTGGGATCTGCCCTCCTGCTGCCCTCCCACCTATGCCATGGGAACGGTGCCCCTGGCACCTGGGGATGTGTCCTGTGCCTTGAGGCCCCCAGTCCCGTCCCACTCCTGCCAGTCCCCATTCCCAGGCAGCGTGCTGGCACGGGCAGAGCCCCACCGTGGCACCTGGCACACGCTGGGACACGGCCCAGCCCCGCCAGCGTGTGTCACATGTCCCTGAGCCCGCAGTGCCATCGCGGTGCCACCACACTCTGCCCCTCCTGGCTCCCCCCTCTGCTCTCTCCTAACCGCTCTCTTCTCTCTGCCCTGCGCAGCACTGGCGACCAGAGGTAGGTCCTTCCTCTCTCTCTGTCCCACTGCGCTCTTCCTCCCTGCACACCCCCTTCCCCTGCCCGGGGACAGACCCCTGCGGCTGCCGCTGTGCTGGGGGGGGGTCTCACCCCTCCGTGGTGGGTGGGGGGCTGTGACCCCTTCCCGTGGGTCTCTGTGCATGCCAGAGCGATGCTGGAGCGATGCTGGAGCCGTCCTGGCACGGGGGGGAGCTGCCGTGTGTGTTTGTGGGGCCGTGGCACTGGGGACACCGTGGGGCTGTGTGTGAGCGTCCGTGCCCGCCCGTCCCCGGCCCCGCTGACACCCTCGCCGTCCCCACAGGCGCAGCGCCACGTCAACGACCTGTACGAGTACCTGCGGGACGGGCACAACCTCATCTCGCTGCTGGAGGTGCTGTCGGGTGACACGCTGGTAAGGTGCCGCGCCGCGCCCCGCTCCCCGCCACGCGCCGGCTCCTCTCCGCCGGCCTTCCTCGTCCTCATCCTCGCCCTCGCTGCCTGCCTCTGTTCCCTCTCTTCCTGCTTGGCCGTCGGTCTGTCCCGGTGACCCCGGAGTG